AGGGCAATCTTTGGTCTAATGCATCTCCCCGCAAAAGAAGAAAGGCTGTAAAGGTGTATTAGTCCTCTTGTTGTGGTAGAGTTATTTCTCTCGTGGGGAATTTGGTTGTTGGATTCCCCCACTCAAACTTGAAGTATGTAGGCTAGATGGTCTATTTGACTCCTCATTCGATGATCTCGTCTTTGTAAGTTGTTCGGCCATGGCCATTGCTATAGCGAAGATCTTGAACTCCTCGTTGTTGAAGCTCCAATTCTACCCATGACTACAACTCATGCATAAAGTTGAAGAGTAAGTCTTTCTTTAACATGTTGGAGATTTCAAGCCTTAGGGCCAAGAATTCCTTAACATATTCGTGGAGTGAATCCTTGTGTTGGAGCCCTTTAAGCTTCCTACAGGCTAGGTACTCCATGTTATCTAGGTAAAATTGTGTCTCTATTTTGCGTTTAAACTCGACCTAAGTGTTGATAACACATGTACCCTGTTCAATGTCTAAGGATCGCCTGTGCCACCACAATACAGAAACATCAGTTAAATACATGACTATAGTGTGTAATTCAGTCATTTCATCATCAAGGTTCGTTGTAGAGAAATATTGTTCCATTTTCCACGAGAAGTTATCAAACTTTTGGGCATCACGAGTACCCTCATATGGATTGGGCTCGTGAATCTTGATGTGGTGAAGTGATGGAGTAGCAGAGGTGCTATCAAGATTAGCCAACACCCTTTCTATGAGCATCAATTACCCTCTCATGTCATCCAGTTGGGCTTGGATGTTGAAGGGAGTGGACATGGCCTTTTGATTTCTTCTAGTTGTGCTTAAATGGCGGTGAATGAGGGCATGGCTCTCTTCCACCCTGCACACTTGGCTTCAATTCCTTGACTTGGAATTGAAAGGCTGATTGAGAGGAACTCCTCTATTGACAAGTTATAGACCCAAGGGCTTCCTTAAGGGCGATGTTCAAGATGTCTCAGACTTCATTGATGACTCCATTCAAGGGATGAGGTGGATTTCTTCTATTGGATCATGAGTTTCACCCATTGTAGCCTCACACCAAAGGATGTAGGCATCAAAGGTTGTAAGGTTGTCTACTGATTTGCCACACTTGCTAGGTGTAGTTGTTTAACACTTTGGGGCTTTGTCCTTAAGAGTGTCGTCATCCAGTGCATCGCCAACTCTGTATGACTAGGAGAGTCCATGCTCAATTTGCTCTACGATGTCCCTGTTGTGCTTCATGGTGCTACTTGCGTTGAAGGTCCATTGGTCTTACTAAGTTCTTACTCTAATACCAACTGTCATAGGGCTAGTCATTTAGGCCCCATGCAACGCTCGATTGTGTCAAGAAAGCCTACAAAATAAAGCAACAAGCATCTAAGGCAACAACGATGACACACAAATTCGTCAAAAGGAACTTTGTATTGCAATTGAAATTGCAAGCACAAGTACACAAGTTCATGTCGAGGGGACCTTGTGCTTAAGTTTTGCACGTTCTTAGTTCCACCCAACTACCTACCTTCTCTCAAAGAGTAACTTAAACTTTTGGGGGAGTGACAGAAAGAAACATCAAGGATATTGAAAAATCATACTGATAATTATAATACTACCATTGGTAGTCCTCCACATACAAAATACATATATAGCCCACCCAAGACACACACAAAGATACTTGGCATGCTGGTGGTGCGATTGAAGGCTTCAATTGTGACAACATGGTCGAACTGAACAATAACACATGGTTGAAGAAAAAAACTTTTACCTGTCGAGAACCTTTGACATGTCACTTCCAAACACTGTTTTCAAAATCGGACTAGACTAGATGGTCAAACCGGAAAAACCGGGAACCGGTCACTTGATCGGTTCCGTTTTCCTCTAAAACCGCTTTTTTCCCCAAAATCGTTGATTTTGGTCAACAAACTGCTGAATCGTCCGGTTAACCGTTTGAACTGTTCAAACCATTTGAACGGCTTTGGCCGTTTTCCAATTTTTTAATTTTTTAAATTTTTTTTTTTACTTTTTTTGTCAGAACAGGCCAATCATTTGGGTCAAATGGTCGGACCGTTCGAACCGATAATCAGACCCCTGACCGATTCGGTCATCGATTCGTTTTTAAAAACCATGCCTCCAAAGAACATGAGGGCGACCGGCAAGTTAGCATCATGAAAATGTCATGTGTCGTAAGAGTGGTGAGACACGTGGTTAATGCCAAACTTACGATCAAAGTTGGTGCAACAGCTTGGAAAGAGGCACCTTTATCCACAATGGGGTATGCAGGCCATGTCACGGAACAACTTGACTAGAGACTATTTTAGACGGCGACATGTGTCCCACAAATGAGAGGTACAACTGCACTCCGAACACCCGTATAAGGGCACGTCTCTTGCTCTCTTATGCTCACAAAGTTTTTGAGCTTGTATGGTTAGTTTGGCTTTCTAGCACAACTCAGCCTAAACGACCACCACTTCATTTTACTAACTTGAACATAAAGTCTTTCTCCCAAGGGATGAACCTAGGGGCCTCTGATTACTTATGCTCACAGGTCGTCGGATCCAACTCACAAGTTCGAGTCTTCTCAACTCGGGCAACATCAATTATGTATTTTGGGGTAGTATTAGGGGGTTGGGGGCAGCTACCCCTACTATAGACTCGTGAACGCAAAAAAGAAAGAAAAAGGTATTGAGTTTGAAGAGGGGAGGGAGTTGAAACTTACTAAAGAATCAAAATGGGGAAAGGAGGTACAGTTACTTATGGAACTTTTCATTATTGCATTTATTTGTTTATCTTTAAACAAAAATACAAAAAAAAAAAAAAAGCAGAATGCGGAAGAGTAGGTACTAGTACTGGCTGCGTTTGTTTACAGTGTAAATTCTGATCCCATTTTGTTTATATTTGGTAGCTGTGTTTTTATACATTGTAAATTGATGTATAACTCCATTCAAAAATAATAATAATAATACAGTGATATTCGATGTAATGTTAAGATTGATTTTTTTTATGTAAAAGTTTCTCTCTTCTCTTTTTTAATGATACGGTCCACCAGTCTAAAATAGTATTTACACCACAACCAAATGCAGCTTAAAACTTTTCCATCAGTTGGACATAATTTGTTTCTCTTGAGACCGGATAAGCAAAATGGGGAAGAACAATTGGAATTAATAGAGCTCTTCCTGACTTCCATCAGAAGAACCGATGTTTACTCCCTCAAGGATTGAGTATTTGAGGATCAATTGAATTGTGTGTAACAGCCATTTTAGGTGAAATCCTTAAATCTTAACTTTTGACTTTGCTTTTGTCAGCAGGATCCACATTCATTACATGTTTATGAGCTTTGTCCGAGTTATTTGATCTGTTATGATGATTTATCAAGCACAAAGAGAGATTAAAAGGAGGGGAATTTAATTAACAGAAGGATAAATATTTAAACATATTTTGAATTTTTATAAATTGACATAAACATACTTTGCACTTTTAAAAATGATTTAAATATACCTTATGATTTTTTTATCTTTTATTTTCTTTAAAATTTTTAAAACTCATTTAGGTGGTGGATATGGATATACCAAATTGCCCTCTCTCTCTCTCTCTCGCTCTCTCTCTCTCTCTCTCTATATATATACGGCTACATCTGAACGACAAACAGACCAGAGAACATCGTAAATACAAGATGGGCTGATCCTTAGATAAAATAGAGATACTATGAGATGACTTATCGACATCTTATGGGTGTGAATCCTTTTGCAATCTCAATGGGACCAGTCCGTGTATATTTAACAAAAAAATGGGATGCAATATATCCACTTTTTTCACAAATATCTACTTCCATTGAAGCTTATATTTTCAAAAATTAAATACATCACCTTTTGTACAGTGAATATCACTGGGTCCCACCTTATCTAGAATGCAGATTTCTAATTTTCAATGCAGAGTTATAAACATTCAAAAGGTCAAAAACCCATACTCTATGTACCCATATCTGCCCATAAATTGGCACCTACCCCAAATACTCTTTGTGCCTACAAATTCTAACCCTGGCTGAACCAGTCATTCTCCCAATTTATTATCACCATATTAGTATTGTCATCTGAAATTGGCCCATACTTGTGACAAGTGGAGATATTCCCAATGTAAGGTTATAATGGGTGTTCGAAGGGGCTTTGAATTGACTGAATTCGGTTTCCGTGACAAGCAACTTATTGAAGTGAAACCATTCCATCATCTGTAGTTAATTGTCCTCTTCTCTCTTTTTTTCTCACTCCACTTTGTTCTCTGTTAATTAAACCAATTGGTCATTTTTTTCTTTCTCTCTTTTCACATTCTTTCTTCTTCCTCTTCCCTAAATGATAAAATAGAATTTTTTAAAATTTTAAATAATTGCACATATGATTTTTCATCGAAAGAGAGTATATTTATATCCTTTCACAAGATATATTGTCTTTTTAAAATACATAGGATCCTTTAAGTAGATGTATGAAAATTAAGAGTATGTTTTAATCTTGAAAAAAATCTATGATGTTGTAAAGACATGATATCAGAAAGGTTTTGGTCAATCAGAACCCTCGTAAATTTTGATAAAAATCCACCTGATTGGTTAGTACTCTTATGATGCCGATGCCGGTTGATTGGTTATTAGTTTTTTTAGTGTTATGTCTTTCTAATATCATGTTTTATCCCGATCATTTATCTATTTATAACCTTCTAAATACGGTCCAGTAGTCGAATTTGTCAATTCACAAAATTAAGGATACAAACAGCTGAATTGGATTCAAATCAGGACATATCTGAATCCGATTAAATCTGATCGGATCTCATAAGCATTGAATTCAAATCCAATGAAGAAGTTGGGTTTTTGGATTTGGTCTGATCTAATTTAAATTTTTAAAAGAATTAAAAAATTATTAAAAGAAAAACAAAATATAACAATTTAAATAAAAAACAAAAGCAAATGTGGCAGCGATGAATTGCAATTTATCACAAGGGCACCAGTGGAGCAGATGTTTTCGTTCCCCTTATCGCAACTTGGCTACAAAAGCAAAAGCAAAAGCAGAAGAAATGAAGAATAAATAGTGTAACTTCAAGCTTTTCCATTTTCTCGTATACCAAAGAAAAAATCTTTCCCATTTTCTTTAAAAGCGAGCACAGAACAGGAAAGTACCAAACTAAAGGTTCAAGAGAAGTGGGAGAGAAAAGTCAGAAAAAGAAGAAGAAGAAGAAGAAGAAGAAGAAGAAGAGGAGGAGGAAGAGGAAGAAGATGGGAATAGTGGAAGAAGCCCACAACATAAGGGTGTTGGGATCGGGTGAACGAATCGTAGTTCTTGCCCATGGGTTCGGCACGGATCAGTCGGTGTGGAAACACCTGGTCCCCCACCTCGTCGACGACCACCGGGTGATCCTCTTCGACAACATGGGCGCCGGCACCACCAATCCCGACTACTTTGACTTCGATCGCTACTCAACCCTCGAAGGCTACGCTTACGATCTCCTCGCCATCTTAGAAGAGCTCGGCGTCGCTTCCTGCATCTTCGTCGGCCACTCTGTTTCCGCCATTGTTGGCGCTCTCGCCTCCATCGCTCGCCCGGATCTCTTCTCCAAACTTATCACGATCTCCGCTTCACCCAGGTTATATAATAATTTAACGGCACAACGAAATCAGAAAAATAAAAACTATAAAGCATGTTTGTGAACGAAATTAATTCGTTTTGTATATGATACTGACTACCAAGTAAATGTTATCTAATAAAAGGTACTTGAACGACGTGGATTACTACGGAGGATTCGAACAAGAAGATCTGGATCAGTTATTCGAAGCGATGCGAGAAAATTACAAGGCCTGGTGTTCAGGGTTCGCCCCGTTGGCTGTGGGAGGGGATATGGACTCTGTGGCGGTACAGGAATTCAGTCGGACGTTGTTCAACATACGACCCGATATAGCCCTGAGCGTAGCTCAAACCATATTCCAAAGCGATTTCAGGCAGGTGCTAAGACTCGTCACCGTCCCTTGTCACATACTACAGAGCAGTAAGGATTTGGCCGTGCCGGTGGTGGTGTCCGAGTACCTGCATAGGAACCTCGGCGGCGAATCCATTGCCGAGGTCATGCCTTCGGATGGTCATCTCCCTCAGTTGAGCTCGCCAGATGTCGTGATTCCAGTTCTTCTCCGGCATATCCGTCACGATATTGCTGCCTGATCATATATTGTTCCAAGTTAGGGAAACGATTAAACAGCACAAGAGAAATCTGCTATCGAGCCGTCGACCATGTGATTTTATGCCACGTAACACGGGTTCTTTTTAGCATGGCCCCGGGGTTCTGATCCAACGGTAGACTTCTCTCTAGCAGATTTCTAGGGCTTTTGATCGATCCACTCCCTTGATTATTAGTAAAAAAATATAAGGTAAATTTCTTTTCCTTTGTAGTTTATCTTCCTTGGTTGCTGATTAAGGATTAAATAGAAGAAACAGCGTTAGTTAATTTAGAAGAAAGAGACAGAGGACGCAATTTGATTGCTATGGGTGGCGTTTGGTGTGACTTCTGCAAATTCGCCTAGACGCCCCCCAACTACTTTTAGCATATTGGTTTATATGATGCAATTATGATACCAGAAAGGTTAGCAGAAGAACCATGACCAATCCCCCCGGTCAATTTTGACGAATACCAGGCAGCCGATTTTTTCTCGCTTTTTATGATTACCCGTTGATTTTTGTTTTGGTAGATTGATACCGGTTGATTGATTATCATTGTTTTTGATAAGGGTGTATCCTATCGGATGCGTATTGTAGAATATCGGCGGATATGCACCGGTAAAGAGGCATATGAACCCGTATATCAGATAGAAATTATTTCCTACAAAAAGAGTTTTAACATGATTCGATCCCTGAAACCCACGTCAAGAGCACAATGATCTTAACCATCATGTCACCTTCTATTTCGTAATAATAAATGAAGTAACTTATCTTTTTATTAACATTATTTCTTACATTTAATCTAAATAAATAGTATATTCAATAATTCCAAGTGCAAATTAACAATAATAATATTCAAAATTATTATTTTATAAACTAATAAAATAAATAATTTATCAAATTCACATATATAAATGATTTTTAATTTCAATAAAATTATACAAATAAAAATATTATTAATAGAATGATTATTTTAATAGTTAGAATTATTTAAATTTTAATAATTATTTTATAATATTTTAATTTTCATTAAATAACAACGTATTTATTATTGCAAAGATAAAATATTGTTTACAAAATATTTGAGAATATAATATAAATTGAATCTATAAATCCACTAATCTACATTTATATAAAAATTAATTTTTATTTTAAGAAATTCATAAAATAAAAATATAAATAATGAATAATTATTTAAGTAATTAAAATTTATGAATTTTTATATGATATGCATCTTCAAATTTTCATTTACATTTTATATAAACATATTTATTGTTCACAAAAGTGAAAGTATTATTTATTGAACATTTGCAAATTAATTTTTAGTTGATTTTTTGTTGATGTTAAAAATTGAAAATAGTAAAATAAAAATAATTGATATAATAATTCAAATATAATGGTTGCATATTTTTTGTGCCTTGGATTTTAATAAAAGTAAAAGTTGATGCATTATCAATAAAATTGTATAATATCTATGCATTCCGTTATATCAATAATAATATATTTCTTTAATTATTAATATAATTATTGAATTTATATGCATTTTCTTAGCGTATCCAAGCATTTTCATATTTTTCGTCCGTATCCATGTGTTTCCCAAGCTTATTTGTAACTGTATCCAAGTTGTCCGATACGATACCCGACACCTATACTTTAATCCTTGGTTACGTGAAATGTGAAGTTTATTAATGATATGTGTTGGTTGTGACACTAGAATCAAACACCATTCTCATTATTAAATCTGGATATTAGAATTTAGATTTTAGAGACAAACAAAAGACTTGTCTATTCTTTAGACTCTAGTTTTATCTTTTCAGTTTAAAGACTTGTGGTGGAGGGACTCTTGGTCAGATTTTGTAATTGGTATGAAATCAATCGACATCAACGAGAAACTTGAGGGACATTGTTAGGGATGTCACTGGCTCAAACTAAACTATAAACCCACATTAGGGTTGGGTCAGTCTTAATCAAGGTTAGGGTCGAGATGAACCCATGGCAATTCTAGATAATGATAATGATAATACTAATAATGTATCCAAAATTTTCTATAAACTTTATGTATTTTTTTATATTTAATTATTAATCTGATGCAGATTGTTAAATCCAATTTTGAATACATAAACACCTCATCCAAATATATGATAATCGAATCGAGTTGTAAAGTTTTAGTGTCATTAATAGGCCTACTTGTTTAGCTAGACTCTTCTTTTTTGTAATATTTTATTTTTTTGGTGTATCTTTTTTTGTGAAGTTTTAGAGCCTTTTTCTTGAAACAATGAGAAGAGTCATGAGTGATACATTACATTGTAAAAGTAGTAGTTCAATTTACAATTTAAACCTCACAATTAAACAGGGACTAAATTTAAAAAAGAGTATTTAAGTCAAAAGAAAGTTCCACGGTCTTACTCATATTTTTAATAGTAGTGTAAATATAGAATTATAGATGTGTTCAATTTTTTTATATTTTTTTGTGTAAAAATAATTTTGATATACCACACTTACTTTCTATTTAATATGATAAATATATGATATTATAGATGTGCCAAAAGTTGAACTATTGATCTTTATTAAATAGTAAAATAATTTTATTTTTGTTCAATTCTAAATTATGCATATCATTTTCACCATCAATAAAATTATTTTTTTTATTACACTTATTTTTTTTAATTTTATTAATAAAAATATCATAAGTGTCTAATTTTTCTATTTTTTTATTTTAAAAATTTTATTACCTAACTATAACTTCATTGGTTGATTAATTTGATTTGAATGGTTGAATTGCTTAGCCACCACTTGGATAAAGAATGATTTTCTTTTTGAGTCAGTTTTAAAATGTATAGGTTTATATTGTTAAAAATATTGACATAGATCTAATTAGTAGCATTTATTAGTAAAAAAATAACTTAGGATTTAATAAGAGAGAATGAGAGTTAATGGATTAAGTATAAAATGCTAATGAGAGGGGATTAAATGAGGTGGAAAGTAATAATTGAGATTACATTTTTAACCCTTACCATTAGAGATTAACTAAATTCATAAATATGAGCATTTTAGTAGCCATTAAAGCTTATATTAAAACTTTAATAAAATGACTTTTATAAATTATACCCTTTCTTAGACTAAGAAATAGAGGATAATTTTAATCCAAAAAAACTTTCACTCTTTATCCGCACTTTTATATATAGTATAAATAAGATTGGTTACTATAGATGTACTATATATGGAACATGACCGATTGGGTTTGGGTTCAAAATCTCTTATCCATAACCCATATATAATCCATATAGGATATAACCCTTTTTAGGTTTGGGTTCAAATTCAAGCAAATCTATACTGAACCCAACTTGTTGACATCCATACATGTCATAGCAATCTTGTATTTATTTTTAATGTTTCTATGAGTTTGTGTTAAAAAGAAGAAAGGAAATGAGGTTCCATTTGGTTCGCATTTGGAATCAGAACCGGGACCGGAATCAAAATCCTTCGGAGTTGGAATTGGAATGGTTTATTCCCATAGTCTGTTTTGTTCAGACAAGAATGGGAATTGGAATCAACAGGAATGAGATTTCATTCCCAAGGGATGGGTAGAGAATGGCCATTCCCTCAAATGGGGGAATGCCATTCTAGTAGGAATGGAAACAGGGTTCCAAAACAGTTGGAATTAGAATAGCCCATTCTGATTCCGGTTCCAGACCCCTATTCCTGCAAACCAAACAGGGCTTGAGATTATAATTTAGTATATCTATTTCATCAGAAGAACTTTGACCAATAATTAAGCATGTTGATTTTTCAAAAAGTTATTTACCTTGGTAAGTTCACTTATCCAAGTAAGTATTACCTGGGAAACACTTACCTGAGTAAGTTAACTTATCTGTATTCTTTTGATCCTCAAGTAAATTATACAATGACTCATTTATCTATAAAATGTCATTGTTAGATGGGGCAAAAGTGTCCCAACACGTTTTGTCAATTTTTCCTCTAGGTGTGAAAGTGGCATCACTTATTCAAGTAAGTGATACTTAGGCCTAATGGAGGGTGATTTGACCTGACCTCCTAACCAGGGGACACGTGGATATGACTCGACGTAAATGACAGCTCAGCATGACAGTTTGATCACAACTCGGTGTAATGAGCTCGCTGAAACCCCAGCAGAACAGCTCACCACAAGACAGCTCGCTACAGAACGGCTTACTGCAAGGTAGCTCGCTATGAAGGAGTTCGCTACAAGGGAGCTCGCTACAAAGGAGCTTGCTATTGAGTAACCCGGAGTCTTCAGGAAATTTCTTATTCGACAAGACCGTGCCTGTCAGACTGCTCCCACATCTCTTGTCTAGCGGCGCAGCACCTGCCAGTCTAGAGGACTGCGCCCACGTCTCACGTCAAGCGGCGTCGTGCACGCCAGCTCTGCATAACGTCTCTCAAATGATAGGACCGTACTCTGCGACGAATACATGCACCAATCGAATCAGCCTAGCGAATAACGGCTGCAGCAAAGAATCAGAGGCGGTTACACCCGATTCGATAGAGCATTAATATATAAGGACTCCAACTCCCAAGGAAAAGGGTAATCGAAAACTGCGCATCTTCACTCTTAGCATTTATTTCTTCGCAACTCTCTCAGTTTTTCCGCCGAGTTCTAAATTAAGCATTGGAGTGTTCCCGCCGGGTGAGCTCCCCGGGAATCCTTCATCTTCTTCTTCTTCTCAGGTACTGTCCGTCGCCAGCTTGGAGTGTGGCCCCCTGCCAGCTAGGAGTGACCAGATCACGCTACATCATTTGGCGCCATCTGTGGGAAACGCTTCAAAAGGCCTTCCTACACCAAACACCACAACTTTCAGTAAGACTTTAATGGCTTCCTCCAGCAACGCCGGACGAAGTGCTGACCAAAACACCTCTGAGGAACGACCTCGCTCCCTATCGTCTGCATTGGCCAGTTCACTGTACCCCTCTCTGCGGATGGAGTCCCTACCCTGAGCGCACCTCAGGTCATGGCGCCAGTAAATACTCCACTCCCTTCACCGGTGGAGGCGACCATTGCAAAACCGTCAGTTCTCCTAGTGGTTGGACAGAACCAACTAGAAAACTTGGTACACTGCATGCGAGTTATGCAAGCTCAAATGCAGCAGGTTCACCAGTTCCAGTGGTACCAGCAACAAATGCTTCACCACGTCTACCAATAGCAGTACCAGTAGCAATTTCCACCGCTGCCTCGGCATCAACAGCAAGTTCCACCTTGACACCCTTCTGCACCACATGCCCAGCCCCACCGTCATAGCGGGTGTCTCCCCCACCGAGGAGAAACCTCCCAAACTCAGAATCCTCTCGGGAGTCAGGTTCATCCCACGACAGGAGGGAAAGACAAGTTACTCCCCCCACTTCGCAGCTTGTAGTCAGGTCGGGGGCCTCTCAGCCAGTC